GGAGTTCGGCGTCACACTGACTACGGTCAGCTCAGAATTTGGCAGAGGCATATACAAAGAATAAAACACAAGTTAGATTTGTAAAGAAAGAGGCGAAGAAAATTAACCAATAAGCGACTGGTAATTACCTTAGAAAAAATATGTTGGGCTTCCGACATAAGGATCAAGTCATCATTTATATCAGAGGCATCATCAAACCCTATGAAGAAATCCTGGAAAGGATCACCTATGCTAAAGCCTCCGCCGATCTCGGGAGTTTTCAGCCCTTGGGCCTCCCTTATTGCTTCTTCAAAAAAGACCGTCATTGAAGGCTGTTGGCCTATTGTCATGCGCTCAGGGCGCTCTATTTGATCTTCTCTGTTTCTGAACCGGCCCCGCCCGGTGTAGAAGGTGTTAATCGAGAAACGATATCGACCTCTGGAGATTCAGGGTTCATGCTTGAATTTTTCTTCAAAGCCTTCTCGACACAAGGCCTAGCTACAACAGGTGGCAACTCAGAAGGAGTGGTGATTTCAACAGCCTTCCTGGGGCGGGCCACCAGTGCCAAAGTGTCTTCTTCTTCTTCCTCGTCCTGATCTATCAACTTTTGAACCATATCCGTCGAAAGAGCGATCGTCTTTCTTCTTACCCTTCAAAGTTTGGGTATGGACACCTCAGACTGCGAGACATCTTTTCTCTTTTTATCCTTCTCCGGCTTCGGAGCCGGGGACTTGGCTTTTCCTCCTTCACTTGGAGGCCTCAGAATGGCGTCCTTGTTCAAGCCTACATGAAGGAAAATTAGTAATAAATGAAATATGAAGTTTCTTTAGAATATAGAGGGAGAGACCCTTACCATGATTCTTGGCCTCCTAATGGCCCTTTGCCAAATTTCGCCATGCTTGATCGGCACTAGTGGAAGTAGAGGCAAGTTTTCGGATCTAATTCTCAAAATCGAGCACCACTTGAGACATCCAGGAGACAATTGAATGATTAAGGAGAAATGTTAGGCAAAATTAAAATAAACATAAGAACTGAGATATGAAGATTCACTTCCGATCGAGATTCCATTCCTCAAGGAATGACATCTTTTCCTTTGGTATTATATCAGAGGTCCTCACCTGTATGAATCAGCTCATCCAACCTCGATCTTTATCCTCGTCGATGCTCAAGAATAAAGTCTTTGCTGCCCGACATTGAAGCTTAATCAGCCCTCGATAGAGTCGAGGCCAATACAACTATATGAGGTGGTTCAGAGTAAACTCGAATCCCTAGCCTCGTTGGAGAAAAAGCACAACATGATCACTATACGCCGAAGTGAGGGGTGGATCTAACAGAGGGTGGCTTCGTACCTTCTACAGAAGTCGAAAATCATGGGGTCAACGGGACCCAGCGTGAAGGGGTAAGTAAACACTTAAGAACCCCTTAGCATATGTGGTGATGCTCTCTTCGGGTGTAGGAATGCACACCACTACCTCGGAACCCCATTTGTTGTCCCTTTTCATGGCCTCGATGTGGCTCTTCATAATCGAACATATGTACAACGACACATGTTTGCATCGGCCCGGTACCGATGAGGGGTTCTCGACTTTGAAGTCGGATTTCAGAACGCATGGTCCTGGAACATACTCATGGGGTGCTGGCTCCACCGGCGTCTTATCACCGACCGGCCGAGAGGAGGAAAATGAAGCCTTTTCTTTTTGCGGTAGAGTTTTGGAAGTTTTTGCCATTTATAAATGCGAAGAAAGTAGAAGAAAGGTGTAAAATTAATGACTCCGATAAGAACAACGGTGGCATAACTGGCGGCGATGAATGAAAGATAAGAAAGGTTGGAGAGTTGAGAGTTTTTTATCAAAGCAAAGTATAGTTTGAATCAACAAAGGATGTGGAATTTATAGGCTTGTGGCGACGGTTCGGTAGTACTAATGGCCAACCGAACTAACATGTATTGATGGTTTTGAGAACCAAAGCGATTGGACATTTCGGTCATATCCATCGCTTATGTCATGAAGACGACGTTATGAAGACGATGTTATGATCGAGCTGTAAGGTAATCGAGACTCAAATCGTTTCTTGTCATTTCATTCTAAGAAACACGGGGACTGTCTGTATACGGTTAAAATCGAGCATATACGATTTAATTTGCTCGAGGGTCTGCCTCGAGGTTAAGTTCATATTGAAGAGAACTCGAAGACATAAAGATCGAAGGATCGAGATCGAGCAAGACCAACATTAAACAATAGAATAGCGAGATATCAGTGATCGACCACAAATCTCGGCGGGAATCTCAAAACCGACAGAACCGCTAACGGTTATTGATATCAATCTTGGATTTTACTTTTGAGATTAGAGTTATATCTTATTTGGGATTCCTCTACTATATAAAGAGGAACCCTGGTCATTTGTACACAGACTTACTGAGAAATAACAATACACTGCTCTTTTACATGCTTATAACTTACTATTATTCTTATTGTTCTTAACACTTGATCTCGAGCCTGTTCCAATCGAGGTCGATAGCTTGCAACGTCACTGGTTGATTTATCTTAGTCATTTAATTCATTTATTTATCTAGTTATTTATTAATTGATATTGAATCAGATCACGTATCCTTATAACCACATTACAAGTTTAATTGTTACTCGTATTTAGAGGTGAATAATCCTAAGCCTCGTTAAATATGAATTTTAATTTGTAATATCAAAAATAAGATTGCTAACTTGCTGCAACATATAAAAATGATGTAATGTATAAAAATTCCTTGCGCTAGGGTCCATAAAACTTAAACTCTAACTAATTTACCAGATCAGCTTATGATGTTTAGTTTTGTTTGTAGTTCACCAAGTACTAAATTGTTGAAAGAACGGAAAATGTCCAAAAATATCCCTAAACTATGGTATATAGCTCACTTATGTCCTCCGTTAATAAACTGGGCCAAAAAATCCTCCCCGTTAGCAAAATGAGACACTAATGCCTTCAACCTAACGACTCATTCCTATCAGCACTTTGTATCCTACATGGCATCCACATAAGCCATGACAAGGCAGCCACGTAAGCCGGCCATTTCATAAACCCGTTCCAGTTCCAAATAAGCGGATTCCAAATATCAACGCGAAGGAAGAAGACCCCCATTTCCAAACAAAAACCTAAGTTCCCCCATGTCTATTCTTCCATGGCGATTTGAGAGGTGAGGGGATGACAAAATCGAGCAAGGTTTAACAACACAAATTGAAGATCAAATTTTCACATTTCTGCTCAATGTCTGATTTATCTATGAATGCGCATGAAATTCAATATGCAAGAAGGTGTCATTGCGGATTGATTGCGCTATATTTTACAGCTTGGTCATATGCCAATGCTGGGAGAAGGTTCTACAAATGTCCAAGATCCAAGGTTAGTTTTGAATTTATTTTATTTTTGGTCGATTTATGGGATTCATCTTCTTTTGTCGAATTAGGTCGTTCTTGATTTTTATTGTTTATGTACAAAATCAGAACTGTTGTAAATTTTAATAATGGTGTAGGTTAGTTCTTGCGGGGATGTTGAATGGATTGACGAAGAGCTCCCTCGTCGAGCGGTGATGGTGATCAAAGATTTAAAAACTAAACTTGATGTTGCTAAGGTTGAGAGGAACAATTTGAGGAATAAAGTTTACCTTATGGATCAAGCTACGATGGTTAAAGGGGATCTAAGAACTTGTTTGATGAAATGGAAGATGTTATGACGGTTGAAAGGCCTACTTTGAAGATAAAGCTTGACGAAATGGAGCAATTTCAACTTGTGGAAGCTGAAAAAGCTAGTAAGTTAGAGGTCAAAGTGAAGAAGATGAGAAATATCATTTTGGTTTCATGGGCTTTATTATTTGCTTTGGTTGTCGTAGGGATGATGCAGTGAATGTATGTTGTTTTAATGTATTGTTGTAGTATTTTGGTTTAGTTATAGGGATGATGAAATTAAACTATGTATGTTTAGTAGTTTGTAATATGATGAAGTTAATCTATGTGTGATGAAGTTATTCTAGTTATGTTGTTGTTAAAAGGACGGTGAGTAGTTCACTGTAGTTCACTCCATGTGTGATGAAGTTTACCTCTAACTTAGCATTGTAGTTCACTCTATTTTCCATTTTTCTCTATTGATTTTGACTTATTAGTAGCATCATCAGAAACTTTTTAAGGCACACTACTAAAGCAGCTCAAGAGCCCTGGAAATAAAGACATCTTAATTATGAATATTTTGGTGTGGTCTTTAATTTTGGTGCAATTATTGTTGATTTTGGTATGTTCTCTTGGTCTTCTTCTTAAAAAGATGCGGCTATATATTCCACATATGTTGCTAGTCGAGTAAGTTATATGAAAATGACCTAAATGATTGCTAGAACAGGAAAGAAGGGATAAGGTTGGTGATACTTCTTCAATACTTGCACCATTAACTTCATCTCACTCTTAGCTGCAAAGGTCATGACTACGCTTGATATTTGTTAATATCTCATCCTTTCTCTATAGAGGAAAAAGAAATTGATGTAACTGGGATTGAATAAGGAAACTGAGGAATTTTATTTCCTTTTATCTTATCAGAATACATTGATATTACTATTTCAGTGAAGTACTTGAATAAAAATTGAGGAATATTTTACATGAACTAAACCATTGCTTTATAATTATCCCCATCATCAACCATATGCAGTAGACTACCAGGGAACACTAAACAAAGGTTTAAATGATGTAGCCAAATACACATCAACCATATGCAGTAGCCAAATATGACTAAGTCTCGACCAACACTATTGTGCAAACTAACACTGTCCAACAAACTAAGTCTCGACCATATGCAGTAGAAATAGCACTGTTGTGCAAACTAATATGCAGTAGAAATAGCACTGCTGTGCAAACTAACACTGTCTAGTAAACTAAGTCTCGACCATATGCAGTACACATCAATCTACTTCCCAGCAAACTACCAGCACTGCTATCAACAAAACAAACACTATCAAAATAGCTGCAACAAAATAGCACTGCTATGAAAACTAAACCAAAACAACATTGTCCAGCAAAATATCAAAACAAACAGCACTAATGTAATATTAATTTACTGCTGCTAACAGAAATAACACTGCATCAAAATTTTAGTTTACTGCTGCTACAAAACAACACTGTCCAGCCATCAAAACATATTTAAGAAACAACTGCTAAATAAAAGGGTTTGTGGTCCAGTTCACCACAAATGTTGCATGTCATTCTAGTTCCCCTTCTTGATGTAGCCCATTCTCCTTGTCTCTTGTTAACCTCATCCTTCTCCCTATTTCTTTTGACTTTTGGCCTTCCAACAGTTTTGGCACATGGAGGAGGGTCCATAGCATGTTCTGGTAATACTTTCCAGAACTTTTCACCTCTAACAGGTATCAACTTGGCCCTATATGTCATCAGGTAAGCTTCCTTGCTGTGCCACCAACTAATTTCAGTCATTGGATCCTCTTTCTCGTATTTTAGTGCCCTGATGGTATGAGGGCAGGGGATGCCAGTCAACTGCCAGGATCTACAATTGTATTTTTTCTCCACTAGGTTCACTGTATGTCATAGTTCAACCTTTTGTAGACAATTACTATGTTCAAGATTCTATAGCTCAGTGGAAATGAAGGTCGATGGAAAATTTCTAAATTTTATTTAACTCCATCTAGCTTAGTGGAAATGAACGTCGATGGAAAATTTCTAAATTTCTAAGTCAATTACTAATCCAGATTTACTTGTTGCATGGACAAAAACTAAAAAATTAAAGATCATTACCATGTTTTCTCGATAAATACTGCAAAGGCTCCGGCGTAAGCAATTTAGCTTTACTATATGTGAAAACATTAACATAGGATCATGAAAATGAAACCTTAAGCATTCTAAGTTCATCTTTAAATCAAGAACTTAGACAATCACGTTGTGGCCATATAAATCACTGTATTTACTACCAATAATAACGAAATAGAAAAATTTGCACAGAAAGCATTCCTTCAAATAGAAGAGAAAAAAAAAGTTGAAGAAAGAAATTAGGAGTACCGGAAACGGCGATAATCAACGGCGACTAACTTTCCGACAGAATAGATCTCGATTTGATAGTGCTGAGTGATGATAGAACAGAGCTAGGTTTGTACTTTGTAAGCAGAAAGTAAAGACTGAAGACTGAAGAGAAAGCAGTGCTGAAGAAGAGATGAAATAATAGGGTTAGCTGGTCAGGGACTTAGTGAAGGAAAGGGTAGTATTATAGAACAAGGGTATATTTGTCTTTTTAGTATATCTTATCGGTTTATCGATATACTGATAACAGAATAAGATAAAATCGAAATCAAAATCGATAACTCGATAAGAAAAACTTCGAAATCGAAATCGAAATCAATAAATCGATAAACCGATAACAAATAATCGATTCGATTTATCGATAAACCGATTCGAATGCACACCCCTAGTACCACGTTCTCCTGAAACAACCTAGCTAATAAAAAATATTTTTGATAATATAAATGAATAAAAAAAAATTATGACGCCTGAATTACTGAAGATTGGTTAGAAGTAGATCCATACCTTCCATTTCTTCCTTATGCCTTCTATTTCTTCCTTACTCTTCATTTCATGTTTCAATTAAGATTTGACAAGCACTAGGCGTAGTGTGTTTGTCCTCTCTTTTTTTTCCCCTTTCTTGCTCTTTTATTTTTTTAATTTTTATTTTATTTTTACGTCTCTCCATTTTTTATATAACTTTTTATCAAGTGAGGAAATGTCCATTCCTTGATATAGCCAATTGCTAATCAAATGGTTTGACTTTGAACTTTGTTTTATTTTTCTACCCACTTAATAAATTTTTGGGACATAACAAAAGAGGTTCTCTCTTTTTTGGAGTATTAGTTTTTCATTTTAAAATGAAACAAAAGAGAATTGACATAACAATCTATGTTATAGCACTGCATCTCTTTTAATGATGTTGGTGGGACACAAAAGGAAAATTTTATTTCACTTGTCATTATATTAGTAATAATAAAAAAATAATCAGAGTATGGTTGAAAAATATCTAGATAAAAATAATATCACATCAAATTTAAAAGGATCATTATGAATCATTTATATCCTTCTCATTCTATTGGGGGAATACTTATTTTTAACCTAACATTCGCACTTATTACTATGTTATGGTACAAACTTTAACCAAATTACAAAAATTCCAGGTAAATACGAGACTAAATATTCACATCGAATAATATCATTAGTTTAATGAGGCCAATGCACTATCAAGAGATAAGAATGCAATCAAATCACGTTAACAAAGTAATAAAATGAACGAAATCCTGCATCAATCAACAAGAAAGTGGACATTCAGGCCCACCGAGAAAGAGACTTTGAATACTAAAAAAATAATGGCTGGTGAGGTTGGTGAAGTGTTGAACGTTGATTCAATTAAAGGTTTTATTAAGCAAAATAATATTACTAATAATATTTAGGGAACCTTAGGTTATGATCTTTTCCCCCTTTGAACATCAAAAAGTGAAGTTAAGTCTCCCACCAAAAGACAATGAAAGCGGGCACGTATGCTCATGCCTATGTACGAATAAATTATATGCATGTTTCCCCTAAAATTCGAGTAACAATTAAATTTATATTGTAATTTTAAGGATATATGATTCAATCCAATGTCAATTGATAAACAAGAAATTAAATAGATAAATTAGAGAATAAAATAGATCAAACCAGTATGCTAGCCAAATTTCGACCCGACCTGTGATAGCCTCGGGGTGTGATAATAAGAATAACAAATGATAAAGCAACTTTTATGAATAGTAAGCGAAATAGCAAGTAATGAGTGTATATATTCTTCTCAGTGAATAATGATGATTACAAATGAATGAGATCCCCCTTTATATAATAGGGGAGTCCTAAATAAGGTACACTTCTAAGTATAGTAGGAAATCATATTTGACAACTGATTAACTGTCGAAGACCAATCCATTCCGAAATTCACGCTGTGATCTCTGGTCTGTTGCGGGTATCTCTCTCTTTCTGTTACTGAATTATAATGGCATCATCTCGAAGTATGCCTTCTTCTAACCTCGGTAAGTGATATCGACCTCGATCTTGGAAAGGAACTTCGACCCCGAGCTCGACGTCCTGATCTTCCGACGTGGTATCACTTTTTCCATCGAATGACGAAATTGGGTGGCCTCGATTTCCATCGTACACAGATAGTACCCTCGTTGCTTAGAATAAAATGATAAAAAATGACTTGATCCTCGATTTTCTGGATACCCCGAGAACGACGTCATCCTTATGATGTAAGCGAACGAGGTAACCGAAACGTCCTGTTGGTACAGTTCCCAAACCATTAATGCTTGCCAGTGATAGTTGTCCACTAGCACCACCGAACTGTCGCCGTGAGCCTATAAACACCGGCTTCCTGGTTGAATCAAAACTTGATATTGTATACTTCAATACCACACAAGAGGGGGGTGATTTGTGCAGTGACCAATTTTTCGCTTAAATTGATTATGGAAGGACCTGGTTCTTCTAAGTGTTCCTTAACCTACTATTGCAGAAATAGTAAATGCAGAAAGTAAAGAACACAAGTATTTTACATGAAAAACACCTGGCTCAAAAGGTAAAAAAATCACGACCTACTTTCCAGTAAGATTTTTCCAAACTCTCCATTAAATCACTGAGCCAAAAACTGCATTTACAAAAACTCTTTTGTAAACCTAAGACTAACTCTAATCCCGTTGTAGCACACAACCTCTAACTGTTGCGACAACTTCAAGTTAACTCTAACTTGAAACTCTGAGTACCTATTACAATTGCCTCTAGATAAAGCTGAAAAGTACAATATGAAAACACCTACGATAATTGAACTAGAACAAAAGACAGACACTTGATGCTGATTTTTTTATCTGATCCATGTAGCCTCAGGTTTGCACACTTGAATCACACACGAACTGCTTGCAAAATTGCCTTGCTATTTTGCTCTCAATTCACGTTTAACTTTTGCGTTTGTGCCACACTGGTAATGTGAGAATATCCTGCAATTTATAGAGTTAGTAGATGAACAAATAACTAGAGTTCTAATGCTATTCTTTCTTGGTGGAAGAGTTCTAGTTGATTTCAACTTCTAACTCCTTACCTATCTTGGATAGTATTCTCTTTGATTAAGGAGTCCTTCTCCTTATCAATTATGCAACCTTTTCGATCAGGAGATATACAATATACCAAGTTAAGCTTATCTCCTTCACATGCATCTCACATGCTCGAACATGTTCGTTTCTATGCATACAAGGGATGGACCTGGTTCATGCCTGAGTTCCTTTGTTAGTCTTCAAAACCAACCTTTACTTGGGCCAACAATACTTTACTTCCACCTTCACCAAGCTTTCTAAGTCTCTTCCACTCTCCATCTCTTCTCTTTCACCACCCGTTGAGTCAATTCCGTTAGTACCAAAACACCAATTTTCATCTCTTTCTGCTTCCTTCTATCTAAATCAATGGCGAAAACCTCCAAGTCCGTTCCACAAAAGGAAAAAGCTTCTTCTTCTTTTTTCCGGTCGGCCAGTGGTAAAACGCCGGTGGAACCGCTCCCTCACGAGTATGTTCTCGGCCCTTGCATCCTTAACTCCGACTTCAAAGTTGATAACTCCATCGATCCCTAGACGATGTGAGCACTTGTCGAGATATATTTGCTCGATAACAGCGAAATATCTTGAGGCTGTGAAGAGAGATTGTGGCTGGAGGGCGAGGTCGTGGTACAGATCCCCGATCATGAAGAGAGCATTACCACTCACGTGGAAGGGTTCCTAAGTATCTATACTTACCCTTCACGATGGGTCCTATCGACCCAGTTATTATTGATTTTTGCAAGAGGTACCAAGTCACCCTAGGCCAGGTTCACCCCTTATTTTGGCGCATAGTGATCATGCTTCGCTTCTTTTCCAGCAAAGACAAGGGGCTGAAGTTCACCTCAACCACTTAATATTGTTATATCGACCTCGTCGTTTTGGAGGGTTGATCAAGCTCCAACACCGAGCGATGAAGGCCTTTTTTGCGAGCAACGATGAGGACAAAGATCGGGGTTGGATGAGCCGGTTCATGCGGGTTAGGACCTGCAACCTCATCCTAGAGGAGAAATTGTCATTCCTAGAGAAGTGAAACCCCAAACGTAAGTGATGTTTTTTATCCATTAGTCTTCGAACTCCATATTTTTCTTTATTTAATGCCTTCACCTACTTCACAACGGTTGCTTAGATGCCTCACGTGGTCATCAACCTCGAAGACTTGGTTCAAAAGTTGGTTATGACTTTCTCTTATGCCGAGCGCTGCTGGCGTGACTTGGCAAAGGGCAGATGGGAAGCCAAGCATCATGGTAAGTTTATTTTGTAAGCTTTCGATCCCTCTCTTTTTGTAATGCTTCTCTTTATTTACACTTGACTTTCTTTTATGCAGTTATCAGAGATGCCGCTGAAATGAGGCTGGCCCTGCCTGGGGAAGAAATCGAGTCCCCGGCCCCGAAGTCAGGTAAAGATAATAAGAGGAAGAGGGTCTCAGAGTCCGAGGATCCCCAACCTACAAGAGATCCAGTTTGAAGATGCAGGATAAATCTCATCCCTATGACTGTAGAGTCGACCTGCTAGCTGGGAGAAGAAGAAGATGAAGATGAAGATGAGGGCAACGACTCGGCGCTGGTGGTTCGAGCAAGGATACCGACCGAGGTCGCCAAGCCTTCAAAGTCAAAGAAGGTTTTTGAGACCCTATCTCATGATGAGGCGTCTTCGAAGAAAGATTCGGGGAAAGCCCCCAAATCGCCTGAGGTAGAGATTATCCCTCGGGTACTAACAAACATGCCAGAGGGGGCCGGTTATGAGACCCCCAGGGCTAATCAGAGCACCCCGAGCAATTATCTCGGGGCCATGACAATAGGTTACTCTCTCTCTCTCTATCAGCCTTTTCTGAGAAGGCCATAAGGGATGCTCGGGCTCTACATATGCCTGACATAGGCGGAGTCCCTAGTAAAGAGGATCCCTTCCGAGATTGCTTTACTGGGTTGATGCTGCTGCCGATATCAACAATACATCCACCATTTTTGAAGAGGCCCAACGCCTTTTATATCGAGTTATTACTAATTCTCATTGTTGCAATTTTCCTTTTCTTCTTCTCCCTTTATCTTACCTTATATCTTTCTTTTTCGGTAGGCTTTCACCAAGTTTAGGGCCAATCTGATCCAATACGAGGCTGAGCTCCAGAAGACCTCGGAGGAGAGAAATGCTTTGAAGCTCTTTTGCGGTCAAAAGGAGGAGGAGCTCAGGGACCTTCAAGCAGACTTGGCCCAGGCTCGTAAGGAAGAGGCTGAGCTAGACGAGCAGGTAACTATCATTTTGAAAGAGTATGGTCTCGATCCTACTGTGGAGGTTAATACTTCAGTATCTCAGTTGCAGCAAAAGCTGGAAAGGATCGAGCTGCTTCGATGGGAAGTCGATCAAATCAAAGCTGACTGTGATCGGTGGAAGGAGAACATGGACCACCTTGCTCCGGAGAAAGAGGCTGCTTCTGACAAACTGTTATCGGCCGAGATCCAACTTCGGGTTGCTAAAGAGAAAAATTCAGCCAGGGCTAAAAGGATCAAAGAGCATGCAGTCGAGCTTGCTAAGGTCAAGGCGGAGGTCGAAAAGATGAAGATTGC